CCGTCGCTCCATGGGAGAGGGATGGGCAGTCTTCTCCCATGCGATTAACTGCCTCTGAAAATCCGCCTCTAGAGGGTCAGCTATGGGTCAGTTCTGACTCGATGGTAAACAATAACAACATATTAGTTTGCATACAAAATTTGTATAAACTGTATTTCTTTAGGAACAATCTAGTGAAGACCTGAAAATGTAGGGTAAAGGAGACACAGATCAATGGTGATTAAAACACAACATGTGAGAATGACTGTATGACACACTATGTGAATGAAGGAAAGTGTGAAACACAATGTGCACGGCCTGGATGTATTCGAAAAAAACAGACCGGCAGGAATTAAGACACCACCTAGGACAGTGGGTTTAAATTTACATTTGCCATAGAAGTCTGTCTCAAAGGGGAATCTTGTGCAGAAATGGAGTCCCTGTGTGGTGCTAACAGTCAAGGTCAAGTCCCCCAAAGGCACTCAGGAAGAAAGGGCTGGTGAGCTGCTTCTGAAGAACCAGCAACCACAAACCCTGTGAGGGGCACAGTTCCGCATGGGGCGCGAGGGCCTGCCTTCAGGTCTCCCTGGACCGGCTGGCGTCACTGTGGTTTGCTGCAGGACTCACTACGGTGACGGAGGGCGGGCAGCCGGCTAGACCTGTGGCCTCCAGACAGCTCCTCAGAACCAGTTCCCTGAAACCACTGGTCTCATCTGAATTCCCAGGTGCACAGAAGAGGAAGTGGAGGCCAGAGAGCCAGATTCGGGCTTGAGGTCACCTCGAAAGTTCAAGGTGGAGGTGAGACTGGAGCCTGGGTCCCCTGGCTCCTATCCAGACTCTAAGATAACCACCCCCTGAGGGCTGACACCTCGTGTCCGTGTCTGCGTGCTTAACGCTCGGTTCTGTCTCAAACTAACGTGCCCTCCGGGAGTATAACTCCAGCTCCTACGGTTGGAGCGCTCAGCCCATAAACTGGTGGATCTCAAAGCCACGGCTTAAAGGCCTGACGTCAACAACAAAGTCTGGTTGGTGCTGTCAGGACCTGTCAAGCAGACGACAACTCACAGAGACTTTATGAACAGCAGATTTGAACCTGCCCTATCCACCGTCAATGCCACAGTCAAGCCCTCTGTTACAGCTACTATGCTAATCAACCTCATCGAGGGTCTTCACTCTTTCACTGATTCTTCACCTTTCTCAGAACAGTGTCTTTTTCTAAGGCCTGGCCCCTCCCAACTGTTCAAAGTACATGACACAAAGAAAGTTATACAAGTGTTCAGGTCTTTTGTTCATAGGGTTGCTACAAGTCGCCTATGACTCGATGGCATTTAACAACAACAGTAACAACAACATTCACTGTTGCACAATTACCTCCCCTTCCATCCCCCCAATCCTCTTTGCAAGGCACCTCTTATTCCGGGCTGTTGTTGTACATATAATGTCTAATCATATATGGCTTTTAAACAGTTCTTTCCTTCATCTATTCCAGTGCAAAAGTGAACTGTGGGGAGGGGGAAGGGAAGGAGAGGAGTAAAATGTGCAATAATGAATGGATGAAAATTCAACTTCTCTGTAAACTTTCATTAACATCACAATTAAAATAAAAAATTTTTATAAAGATGTATAAAGGATCCAAGAGGGGTGGGAGAGGTTGAAAGCAGAGAGATGTGGATTTTACTTGCATGTGATATTCACATTGTTTGACAGCTTCTACACTGTTGGATCTCCTGTTTTTTTGGACAGTAACATGTATGGATTTCTTCTTGTTAGTCCTGTTGTTGCTGCTGTTATGTGCCCTTGAGTCACCTACAATTCATAGCAACCCTACGTACAACAGCTCTGAACTCTGCCCTATCCTGAACTAATCTCACTGTCTTCGACAGACCCAATCCCACTTCTCCAGTCACTCCATCTCATCCAAGGTCTTTCCCTGTGCTGTCCTTCCACCCTTCCAAGAACGATGTCCCTTTCCAAGGAGGAATCACTTCTGGCAACGTGCCCAAAGTATGTCAGATGGAGCTTCAAAATCCTTGCCTCCAAAGAGAAGCCTGGTTTCATCCTCTCTGGTACAGACATGTTTGTTCTCCTAGCAGTCCATGGTATATTCAATGTTCTTCTCCAGTACCACAGCTCAAAGGCATCAATCCTTTTTTTCTATCATCCTTAGTTATTGTCCAGCTGTCTGATGCACAGCAAGCAACTGCAAAGACCATGACCTGGATCAGGTGCACCTTAGTTTCTAAACTGATATTATTGCTCTTTAGTACTCTGGAGAAGTCCCTGACAGCAGACTTTCCAAATGCAATTCATCCTCTGATTTCCTGACTGCTGGTGTCAAGAGTGTTGATTGTGGAATCAAGCAAGCTGAAATCAGGTTCAAAAAAGGACTTCGGCTGCAGGAACTGCTAGATAATATGATAGGCCTTTTCATAATCTCAGAACATGACGTCTCCAAAGCTCTGCTCTCTGTTTTTGTTTCACGACTGTTAAGTCAATTCAGACTCAGAGTGCCTCTCCACCCAGCTTCCCAGGCTGTAAATCTTCATGAGAGGGGACTGGTCACCTTTCTCACTTACAGCAGCTGGTGGGTTCAAATCCCTGACCTTTCTGTGCGCAGCGCAGCAAGTAAGGCATTACGCCCCTGGAGCACCTCTGTGACTGTGAACTTCCTCATGGCTGTGGAGTTGGCACCGACTCATAGCTGACCCTCCAGTGGGTTTGCAGAGACTAAACTGCACGGGAGGAGACCGTTCATCCTTCTCCACACAGAGTGATGGTGGATTCAAACTGGCAGACAGGCACCACCTCTGGGGTAGCAGTGCAACTTCCTACTCAAGGGGTGTAAGCCAATGCCAAGCTTCACCCTTCTAGGTCTGGGCCCACACATGCATGTTAGGGCCCTGGAGACTCCGAGACACACCCCCAGCCCAGGTTTCTGCATGGCTGATGGGTTTCTGTATGACTCCGTTCCCCTCAGCCCTTCCCATTCCAGCACACTTAAGAGAAAGAAACTTCCAATATTTTAGCATTTAGAAGGTTTATCTGTTAGAGCAGCAGATGTTTCCTCCACTCATTATCTATCTACCCACCTACCTATCAATCTATTGACCCAGAGACTATAAAGACACGCACCACAACAGTACTGGTCATTTTTTCAACAATAAACCCCGGTGTTTTTGGTCAGCATGTTGTTGTTGTTGTTATGTGCCGTCGAGTTGCTTGAGACTCATAGCGACCCTATGTACAACAGCCCTAAACCCTGCTCTATCCTGTGTCAATTGCACTGTCTCTGACATACCCATCCCGATTACCCCAGTCACTGAATCAATCCACCTCATAGAGGGCCTTCCTCTCCTGCACTGTCCCTCCACCGAACCAGGCATGACCCTCTCCAAGGACTTGTCCCTCCTTACAACACATCCAAAGTATGTCAGAGGAAGCCTCAGAATCTTTGCCTCCAAGGAGCAGCCTGGTTTAACCCTCTCCAGGATGGACCTGTTTGTTTTCTTAGCAGTCCATGGTACACTCAATACTCTTCTTCAGCACTACCAGTTAAAACATTTTAAAAAGACAGACTTAAGGGGGGAAAATAATAACTTGAAAACTAAAAGCCCCAACAGCTCGGCCTCTGCTTGTCCCCCCCACCTGGCAGTCAGTGTCACTAAGGTCGCCGGGGTCTCCATCAATTGCCCTCCTCTCTGGTGGCCCAGAGCCTCCTCACCCTCGTGTAAGCCAGCTGACAGTTCCTGACTGACTCAATGTCTCCACCAGGGAGGTGCATGGCCTGGGTCTGTGGGGCTTCTGGGCTCTGTGGCCCCCCTTTATCCCCACCGTGGGGGTAAGGCTCCCTCATTTAAGCTCTGGTGGCATCAGGATGTCTACTCTGCTGTTGAGAGATCTGAACCGGGCAGCCCTCGAGCCTTTAATGCCCCTTCTGAGGGGTCCTGCTCTCCGCATGCACTACAGGAAGAGTCATTCGGATCTTCAAGACACCACTCCGCATTTACTGCTGTCAAGGACTTCTCTAAAGTGCTAAAGAGCAAGGATGTCAGTTTGAAGATTACGGTGTCCCTGAGCCAAGCCACGGTATTTGCAATTCCTTTGTATGCATGTGAGATGTTGGACAATAAATAAGGAAGATCAAAGAAAAGTTAATGCTGTTGAATTGTGATATTGGCAGAGTATTGACTATATCACAGATTAAAAGACAAGTCTGTCTTGGAGTAAATGCAACCAGGCTGCTTCTTCGAGCAGGACCTCATCTCACATACTTAGGGCATGTTGTCAGGAGGGATCAGTCCTTGGAAGAGGCCAGCAGACCTGGAAAGGTGGAGGGTCAGTGGAGAGGAAGCTTCTCAACGAGATGGACTGGCATTGTGACCGCAGTAAGCTTCAGCACCGCAGATGGGGAGGATTGCACCGGATCGGGGAGGCTGTGATCTCTGCACACAGGGCTGCTATGAGGCCTATTAGAGTCAACGGCACCTAACAACAGTGTCTTTGAAGACAACTCATAGCAACCCCGTGAACAACGGATCTGACTCCAGTCCTATCCTGTGCCATCCTCACCACCTCTATGCCACTTGAGCCCGCTGCTGCAGTCACCACGTCAGTCCATCTCCATGGGGGTCTTCCTCCCGTGCTGACCCTCCATCCTTCCAAGCATGATATCCTTTTCCAAGGAACAGCCTCTCCAGCAACATGTCCACAGTAGGAGACGAAGCTTTGCCATCCTTGCCTCCAAGAAGCGCTCGGCTGCATCTTTTAAAATTACCTAATAAACAACATAAGGACAGGCTGACCGGTGCTTGCTTACTCACAAGTCTGTAGTGAACAATCTCGAGTCTTTTGCCACCGTCTCAGAGGTTCCGCTTCTAGGGGTGGCTGTCCCTCCCCCAAGCCCACTGCGCATTCAGACAGCATCAAAACCTCCTTTCAGACTGACAGTCGCTGACGACCGTGGGGTGCCCGTGAACCAGGCGGGCTCGGACTGACTGACCGATCGCCGCGGCTGCACCTACCTGGGTTGCCGAGCGCCATGGAGTCGTAGATGAGCTTGCAGGTCTTGAGCAGGATGTCGATCTTCTTCTCGGGCGAGTAGGCCTTGTTCATGCTGCTGAACTTCTGCAGGATCTTCTCCATGACAGGCACCTCGGGCACGCTGGTGGTCACGCCCAGGTCGGTGGTGGTGGTGGCCAGGATCACCAGCTGGTTCTCCTTGAGCTGCTGCAGCGAGCCATCCCTGCTGTGGATCTCGTGTAGGCAGGAGTTGATGGCGTCCTTCAGCGGCTTCAGGACACACTTGTACAGGGCAGACTCCACGATCGCTTCTGCAGGTGGGCGAGAGGGGACGGGTGAGGGAGCCAGCCACAGGGGTCCCGCTGCCCACTGACCACTCATCCCACACCTGGAAACATGCTGCAGGCACCCCTGGCTCTGACAGGTGACACTGTCACATGCTCAACACAAAGCCACCCTGCAAAGGTGCTGACACAGGAGCCCCCAGGGACTGACATGAACACACCAACTGGCTGCTGCATCCTCAGGCCTCCCAGGGCTGCCTTAGCTCGGAAACCCCCAAGACAGACTCTATCGTGGACTGTTGGGAAATGTTGGGGAGGAACGGAGGGCCTCTGTCCAGGACAGATCGCCTAGCTCTGTTGCCTTTAATGCGGGGTAGAGAAAGCTTTCCCATGTTTGGCCGTACTGGCTTGAGAAAGCTGGCCACCTGGGAAGACGGCTGCTGCGTCTGTTGAGCTGGGAGTAGTCTGCATGAGGCTGAGGTTCTCCTGACCATTCTGCATGTCCCATGTCTGCAGGACCACCCTATCCTGTCTTCCTGTTTACTTGCTCATATATAAGTGCACTGCAGCCCCAATAAAGTTGAGCTGGATTGACTCTCTGAACAGTTCCCGGAGTGGCGTGTCTCCATCGTGCTTACCCCCATCAGGGTGTCGCTGTTCACTGGTGGCGAACGGACAGTGACAGTGAACTTGTGCAGTGTACAACTTGTGCCACTGCACTTGGAGAGGCTGGGTGCCCAGCAAATGTTTGGTGGAGCTCTTCTTGACGCCTCTCCTTTCAGATCCACTTGCCTCTGGTTTCAAAATCCTCTATACCCAGAATCTGACTTCTCAGCAATTCTACGCTATCAGTCAACCTTAGGCTACCACTGATTGCTACCTGGGAAACAAAACGGTCACTTGTTCTGCTGCATCATGTCCACCCTCAACACGGTGGCCAGTATAGCTATGTCACAATATATTGTTGGGTGCTCTCAAGTTGGAACTGACTCATAGCTGACCCTCCAGTGAGTTTTCAGAGGCAGTAAATTGCACAGGTGGTGATTTCCCATCCTTCTCCCATGGAGCAGCTGGTGGATTTGAACCACCTGCCTCTGGGATTTCAGCACAGCTTCATACCACTAGGCCGGCTACCACAGCTCCATTACAATATAGTGTTGTTAGGTGCCACAAAGTGGAATATGACTCACAGTGACCCTATGAACAGCCAATCTGAACCCTGCCCTATTCTGTGCCCTCATCATCTCTGAAACACTCAAGCCCTTGCTGAAGTCACATGTCACTCCATCTCCTTGTGGGGTCTTCCTCTCCTTCGTTGACCACCCCTTCTTTCCAAGCATGATACCCCTCTCCAATGAACAGCCTCACCTAGCTACACTAGGGCCTTCCTAATGCCTGTGCGCAGAACCTCCCTCTGGTCCCGTCTTGGATGCTGTAAAATGCAGTCTTCCCATGGCCTAGAAGGGCCCCTGGGACCTGGCGTTGTGACCTCTCCAGCTCATCCCCGTGTCGGCTGCCCCACGCTCTCCTGACCCCAGCCCTCAGCCCTGCTTGCTGTTCCTCCAAGCTGTCAAACCAGGTCTCCCATGCCTTTTGCCTGGAGCAGCCACGCTCAGGTACCATGTGGCTCGTTCCTCCACCCTTCACATTCCATCATCCTTACCATCCTGGAGAGATCACAGGCCCCACGCATTAAGTGAAATGGCATTTAGTAGGCTTTGTTCTCACAACCACCATGCCATACGTGTGTCCTTATCTGATCCCTCTGCAGTCTTTTTGATTATGCATCTGAGAGCTGGACAGTGACTAAGAATGACAGAAGAGTGGATGCCTTTGAGTTGAATGTTGGAGAAGAGCACCGAACATCCCATGGAGGCCAAGAGAACATACAAGTATGTCTTCAAGAAAGTGCACCCAGGACGCTCTTTGGAAGCAAGGCTGGTGAAGCCTCGTCTCACATACTTTGGGTATGCTGTCAGGAGGGCTCAGTCCTTGGAGGACATCACACTTGGAAAGGTGGAGGTCAGCGTAGGAGAGGAAGATCCTCAAGCCAGATGGACTGACACGGCGATGGTAACACGGGCTCCAGCAGATCAGAGATGGTGAGATGGCCCAAGACACAGCCATGTTCAGACCTGTTGTTCCTGTGGTTGCTATGAGTCATTGTCAACTTGATGGCACACAACAACAACAACTACAGACCTACCAAGCTTGGTGACTCAGTGGTTAAATGCGGGGATGCTAACTGAATGGTCAGCAGTTCAAACCCACCAGTCACTCCTTGGGAGAAATACGTGGCCATTTGGTCTTGTAAGGATTCCAGTTTCAGAAGCTCTAGGGCCGTTCCACTGGTCTATAGGGGTCACTGTGAGTCAAGGTGGACTTGATGACAAGGTGAACTTGACTCTGGTGAGCCTACTGAGGCTCTGGTATGTACCTGGGGTGGGGGTGGGGCAGTGCACAGCTAGCTGGGGGCTGAGTGAGGATCTGAACCCATACCTACCTGACTCTAAGGGGATGTGCAGATGCTCTGAGTGACATTGGGGAAATGTTCTCAGAAGCCCTTCTCAGCCCTACACGATCCCAGGGCGAGGTCTGGGCTGGGGGTCAGATACAAGGAGACCCTAGGCCATGTTCCTGTGGAGGCGCATGGCGACACCTGCTGTCCTCCCCTGGAGGAGAGGGAAGGGCTCATGATGCTGGTTGAGTCTCAGTGGACAGTTCCTCTCTGGGACTTCAAGGTCCATTCTGACCACCTTGGGTCCCCATCCTCCTCCTCCCTCGGCTTCAGCTTCTTGACCATTCTCCTGGATCCTACCTCCCCATTTATGCCTTTCAGAGCCTTCTGAAGCTGGAGGCATGGCAACCTGGGGACAGGGAACTGCATCAGGCCTGAGGCTGCTCCTGGCTCTCATGTAATCTTGGCTGAGTCACTTCCCCCTCTGGGCCTGCTTCCTCATCTGTCACAGGAGAGGATTTCACGCTGTCCTCCAGGGTCCCTGACACCCCTGGGAGCCCAGGTTTCCTGTGGCTGCCTCCTCTCTCCCCAGCTGGCCTTCTGGCCATGCCTTACTTCTCATCCTTCCACTGCTCCTTGTCTCCATGATGTGATGATGAGACCAGAGCTGCTGAGCTCAGATCCTGGTTGAGATGGTTAACAATTTCCACTAGCTCAGTTCCACAATACTCTTGGTACCAGCAGTCAGGAAGTCAAAAGACAAATTGCATTAGGAAAGTTTGCTGTTAGGGACTTCGCTAGAGTTCTGATGAAGAGCAAAGATGTCAGTCTGGAGACTAAGGTGCGCTTAATCCAGGCCATGGTCTTTGCAATTACTTGCTAGGTATCAAAGAGCTGGACAATGACCAAATATGACAGAAGAAGAATTGATACCTTTCAGTTGTGGTGTTGGAGAAGAGTACTGAACATATTACGGACTGCAAAATGAACTAACAGGTCTATCCTGGAGAAGGTGAAACCAAGCTGCAAGGATTCTGAGGCTCTGTCTCATATACTTTGGACATGATGCCAGGAGGGACCAGTCCCTGGAGAAGGACATCATGTTTCCAAGGATGGAGGACAGCAAAGAAGAGGAAGACCCTGGATGAGACGGACTGACACAGTAATGGGGCAGCGAGACTGGCTCAGGACAGGGCAGGGTTCAGATCTATTGTGCATAGGGTCGCTAGGAATCATAGCTGACTTGACAGCATGTAACAACACCAATCTGGGCAGAGCTCAAAGAACAAGGCAGAAGAGCTGAGTGGCTAGTTCACAGGGGGCGGATGGAGTTTGAAGTCAGCTCTGTCACCTTCTCTGTGTGATCTTGGCCAACTGTTATCAATTAAGTTGTGTTCCCCAAAATAAGTGATGAAACCCTAACTCCTAACTCTGTTCCAGAAGAAGACATCTAGAGTGTCTCTTAGAAGCAGAAGCAAGAGTGGTGAGAATTCTTCCCTCATACTCTGGGCAAGTGATCAGGAGGGGTCAGGCCTTGGAGAAGGACAATACAGCTTAGAAAAGAAAGAGGAAGGTCCTCGATGAGATGGATTGACACAGTGACTGCAATTGAACTTAGCAGAGACAGTGAGGACGGCAGAGGACCGGGCAGGGCTTCTTCGTCCTGCTGTCCTGTGAGTCACCATGAATCACAGCTGTCTCAATGACACCTTGTAACAGCAACTACAACATACCCTGGGTGCTATTCTGTTTGGAAATCAGCTTTTCTTTGTTATGAGACCACATAGGCATAGGCTGGGTCCTAAAACGATTGACTTCTGTGTTGTAAATAGAGTACCATATGCGCAGACAGACACACGGACTGAAGACACGGCAGGTGAGGACCGTGTCTACGGAGCTAGGACAGTCTGGGTCTACCGGAAAGGAAGGGGCCGGCCCAGCAGGCAGCTGGTTCGGATTTCTGGCCTGACGAAAGGGGAGACAATTTCTGTTCTTGAAACCACCCCTGTAGGGCACTCATGGAGCAGCAATAATACGGCCACTGGTGCCTGTGGGCCCTGATCCCTTAGGAATCTCAAGGCCTGGAGTCTACGGCTTTGATTCAGCTGGGACCAGAATGGGCCAAGTTGGGAAGGTGCTGGGACCACAGTGCTGATCTCCTCCGCCTTCCAACCCTTCCCCACCATCTCTGCAGCTCCCACCTTCCCCGTCCTTAGCAGGCACTCAGCACCCGCCCTCTCCGTGTCTGCTCCACGCTCTATTCGGCCCTTGTCAAACCAAAAGAGTCGTGATTTGAAATCTGACAGTCTCCTCTCTCCTCTCACAGACTTACAGCCTGGGAACCTGATGGAGGGTCTCTGACTCCTTGGCAGTGGGTCTGGGTTTATCGAGGCATAGGGATGCCCAGTGCTTAACCCAAAGGTAAGCAGTTCGAATCTACTAGTTGCTCCAAGGGGGAAAAAGTGGGCAATCTCCTTCTGGGCAATTTACAGCCTCTGAAAACCCACTGGAGGGTCAATGATGCGTTTACTAAGCAGCTATGGCAGCAGGGCTTTCTCAGTTATTAACGAGGCTGTGACAATGGCAGATGTGTCTTCAGCCTGAAGATTTCAGAGAAAAAGAGCACATAAGGCACAGAGCAAGTGTGAGGGGGGAGGCGGAGATGGAAGCCACCAAGGAACAGGGGACACGTAGCTACGGAAACTGAGAGGAGGGCACGACTCAGCGCTGACAGTGACACCACCCTCCTCTGGAGCTGGTGCTTTACGTTTGGACTTTCACCTCTTGAACGGTGAGAAAATGAAGGGCTGTGCGTTAAACCACCCCCCTTGTGGTATTTCTGTCAGTGGCACCAGAGAATGAAGACACCCCATGACTGTCTGGCCTCACTTCCTGCCTCCCTATCTCCCTCCTGTGCCTCCTCTCCCCATCGTCCATGCCTCTTCCTCATCTCTCTCTCATCCCCCAGGATGCTAAGCCCCCCGGGAGCAAGCGCTTTGCTGACTTTGTCCCCCGAGGGCCTTTGGAGCTCAGGGGGTGCTCAGGTCAGGCCTTTGGGCTCTTGGTCTTCAGGTGAGACTATCTATATGGCTTTTATCCCTGCACCGCCAAGCTTCCTGCCCTCCACATCCAGATAACCAGCTCCCCACAGTGGGAGACCCCATGCAGATGCACATAGGCAGCATGGCCTCCTGGGTCTCACCCAGACCCTAACCCTACCCTTATCTCCATGCCTGGAGCTCTCCCCTCAATCTCTGGACCTTGCACACTTGGGGGAGGGTTCTGTAACCAAAATCCAGTCATCCTAGGAGAGGGGGCATCTTCATTTCTCTCTCTTTTTAAAGTCAAATATTCCTTAATGTTTTCTTCCTGGTACCACTACCACAATTTACAGGACGACAGACCTGATGGAATGACAGACAAAGCTCTAAGAGACGAAAGGCCTCCGGAGGGGGCATGTGACTGACACGTCACTGCATCAGTCAACAGCGGCACTTTCAGCAAACTGTGCTGAACAAGAAGGGTTTCCTGTTTAAATGGCAGTTACTTTTCTGCGCATGGATCCCTGTTCCTTCTGTGGCCGACTCTGACAGTTCCTCTAATGCATTTGGAACGACAGTCTGAAAGGAACTGGCAGCTCTTGCAGTAACTCCTCGTTCTCGCTTCTGCTAAGAACAGCAGCCCTTTGCTGTTGAATTCTCCGAACCTTCTACCGTCACCACATCCACCAGCAGTGTCGTAACCACCACACAGTCTGCCCGAACTTCTTCCCCAAGACTGCCCTTTCCATGGGTCCATGATTTGGCTACTGGTGTCCACTACCGTTTCCTGAATCACTATAGTTCCCCTACCACCATGGTTAACACCACCGAAGTTTCCTCCCTCATTGTAACCATCGTATTCTCCACCATGGCCACAACATCCACCACCCTGGTTCCATACCCTGGTCCCTCAGCACCACAGCCCTCCCGCTACTGTCACCCGGTCCACGCCGTAATCATCACCATCGCCTCCAGATCCATTATAACCACTATCCATCACCTCCTCCATAATACCTCTGCTGCCTCCACCTCCACCACCACAGCCCCTGCTTCCACCACGGGTATCACCACCCCCAGAGCTCCCTCCGCTACCTCCAAAGTTTCTTCCACGGCCTAGGAAGTTTACAGAACCACCTCCATGACCTCGTTGCGACCCAGAGACTGCATCTCCCACTTAAAAAGAGCCTTTTTCACTTCACAACTGTGGATAGTGCGGCATTTCTGAACAACAATATTAACTATGTCACGATTATCAAAAGTTACAAAAGCAAGTCCCTTGTCTTCCATAAATTCTGTGTTTTGGCACAAGGTGCAAGCAGGATTAATTTTATAAAACCTAATGCATGAGAATAAGCATATAAAACACAAGGTGAATGAAGAATAGAATGAAACTATGTATATGAACTTTGTAAGCAGATGAATATAAAATATTTAAAAAGAAATTAAAAATTGTACACAAAAAAGTCTGCGGTCTCAATTTTGCCAGACTTTTTGAAGTAACTTCCCAAATTATACACTTCTGTATCTTCTTCAGTGTCACCAACAACAATTCAGTCGGCTAAGCACCAGGCTCTACAGAATCCTCTCTGGGAATGGCTCTCTGATTCCACTGCACGCCATCAGCCTCGTGTGGCCACACACACATTAACTGCTGCATCCAGTCTTCACCATGAGAGTAAGCCACAAAACCAAAGCCCCAGAACATTTTCTTGGGGGGTGGGGCTGTGTCCCTCATCCCCACACAATCTGTGACAGGACCCCATTTCCCAAAATGGTCTCTTAAACCATTATCTGTCGTTTCAAAGCTCAAACCACCAAGAAACCGTATCTCTAAGTACTGTGCTCCCCTTGGGTCCTGGCCCCACCTCTAAGACTGTACTTGTCACTTCCAGCGTGTGGTTCCTTCATTTCTCTTCGTAAGAAACACTCACTATGAAGCTACTGGGCTGCAGAGCCCTGAAAGGCCCCTCTTATGACACCTCCTCTTTGATGAGGTTTTCGGGGTGGACTGGGGGATTCCAGGGGGGACGGCACTGCAGGGTGTGGGATGGTATCTGCTTCCCATTGGTTCTGAGCACGTTCAATGGTTCCACCAGTGGGTGGGCAGAGCAGGCCAGCTCTGTGAGTGCCTTGAACTTAGATTTTAATTAGAGGCTGGCGTGGGTGAAGGCAGGCATGGGCACTTGGAAAGGGTGGTAGAACAGAGAGCTGTTTTAGGTCGGTGCCCTGCAAGGAGCCCAAGGTAGGGATTGGGTGGGCACATGCTTCTGATGTGGGAAGAACTCAAGAGCAAAAGGAAGCCAGAGGCAGCAAGGCAGGGCTGGAGAAAACACGTGGTCTCAGCCACAGCCTGACCCCAGAGCAGCTCTGGAGGGGTACGGAGTGGGTTCCACCTTGAGGTCAAGGGACAGCCTATTGTCCCCCAAAGCACAGCAACTGGTTGACAATAGCCAGTCATGTGAAAAGAGTGCAGGTGATACGGGCCCTGTGATGACACCGGTCAGTTCTCCAGAAATGGGAGCCTCTCTGAGCCACCAGGGGGAGCTCTGCTGGTCTAGTAGTTAAGAGAACTGAATTAGCAAATCAGAGGTGGGTGGTTCAAACCCTCAGGAGGAAGATGGGCCATCTCCTCCGACACAATTCACAGCCTTTGCAAAACCTGCTGTTTAATCAGTGAGGGGGTCAGTTTCCAACTCAGCAATAATGAGTGTGAATGTATCAGTTGGCGGTGGCTGGGATGGCATGGCTACACCCCCCAGAAAGAAGGTGTGGGCGAGACTCCAGCCTGTCTGCTTTGTCCATCCTAAAGGGCCCCCCGAGTCTGTGAATCCCTTCGTCCTTCCCCGCCCGCCCGGGCACTCACCGAGCTCCTCCTCCGCGTGCAGGCTGGGGTCCACCAGGACCTTGAGCTCGGTGCTTTGCAGCAGATAGCTTTTGAGCTGGGTCATCATGGTACGGATCTCCTGCAGCATCTCGGTGCTGGAGGTCTGCTGCGCCATCATCTCCAGGCTGTACACCTTGTAGTCCTGCACCAGGCTGCCGAAGTAGGAGGCCTTGTCCTGAGCCAGCTCCACCACCCTCTTGTACAGCTTGCGGTTGTTGGACAGGAAGGCGTGGAAGACGCTGGTGAAGCTCGCAAAGCTAAGGCGGTGGCGCGCCTTGTCCAGGATCATGGCCGGCTTCTTCTTCACGCTGGGGCTGCTGAACTGCTCCAGCTCCTCCTCCGTGCTGCTGGTGGAGTACGAGTCCTGGTCTGCGGCCGACGCAGGCACGCCCAGGCTGTCCGACAGGGAGGCCAGCGAGCCCTTGAACTCTGGGGCGCTCTGGGGGCGGCCACCAGCCTGGACCTGGAGGCTCTGAGTCCCAGCTTGTGGGGCAGGGGTTGGGCCTTCTTTGGGGGGTTCAGGTGGGGGCTTCTCGGGGGCTACCTCCTCCCTGGAGACCTCGGTGCCCTCCAAGGGACTTGGGAGGACAGAGGCCAGCTGCCGGGAGATGCGCTTCTTTCTGGGGGGTGGCACGGGGGGCTGTCTGATCTTCTTGGGCGGCTCGTGCATGCTGCCCAGGCTTCTGGCTGTGGCCTCTGCTTGCTGGCCTTGCTCCGTGGTCCTCTGAGGCCTGTCCCCAGAGCTGTCTGAGGTCCCTGGGAGAGGCAGGCTGAGCGAGGTCACCCTGGAAGGGCCGAGCGGGTCCCCACCTACCGCCTTCCCTGAGCCGAGCTCCTCGAGGGAGACCCTTTCGGACAGGCGTCGTCTTGGGGGTGCAGGAGGCAGGCCCTTCTTTGTGGGCAGCGGAGGGGCCGGGGCAATCCGCCGTTTCTCCTCTTCCTCCCTGAGGGGGCCCGGGTGTGGGGCAGGGCGTGGGAGCCTCTCACAGGCTGCCACGGGTGGCTGGTTTGGAAGGTCTGGGGGCTCTGGGGCATAGGGTGTGAGGTGGGGAGCAGAAATTGGGAGTGCAGGAGCGAGGGCCTCTGGGGAGTTGGGGGCA